ATTGTTGTTTGGCGGGCCCGGGCTGGGGATTCAAACCCGCCACCTTAGGTGTATGTGGCTGGCGCCTTAGCCACTTGAGCCACAGGCGCTGAGCCAATTTTGTTGTTGTTATTGAGATAGAGTCTCACCCTATGCCCCTGAGCAGAGTGCAGTGGTGTTATAGCTCACTGCAACCTCAGATTCCAGCTGTTGTCATCCCGCTGTCTCAGCCTCTGGAAGCCACTGGGATTACAGGTGCTTGCTGTGGAGCCCGGCTGGGTTTTTCCATTTTTTTCATGAGTCAGGGTCTCACTCTCGCTCAGGCAAGTCTCAAACTCCTGAGCTCAAGCAATTCTCTCTCCTCAATCTCCCACAGTACTTAAATTACAGGTGTGAGCTACCATGCCCGGCATTTTTTTTTTTGAGACAGAGTGTCACTATTCTACTGTGTGAAGAGAGGATGACACACACAAAGTACTGCCCGGTTTGGCCACTAGGTGTTATGCAGAAAATAAAATGGGAATATTTTTAAAAATCACTTTGCCTTGGCATCTGTAGCTCAGCGGTTATGGCGCTGGCCACATACACGGCGGTGGGGGGGTGGTGCTGGGGCTGGCAGGTTCAAACCCAGCTCAGGCCTGCCGAACAGCAATGACAACTGCAACCAAAAAAATAGCTGGGCCTTGTGGTGGGTGCCTATAGTCCCAGCTACTTGGGAGGCTGAGGCAGGAGACTCGCTTTAGCCCAGGATTTGGAGGTTGCTATGAGCTGTGATGCTATGGTACTCTACCCAGGGGGATAGCTTGGGGCTCTGTCCCAAAAAAAAAAAGAAAAATTGCTTTTGGCTGGGCACTGTGGCTCATACCTGTAATTCCAGCACTTTGGGAGGGATTCTGGAGTAGGATGACAGCTTGAGCCTAGGATTTCAAGACCAGCCTAAGCAACACTCTAAGATTCTCTAAAAAAAATAAGAAATAAAAACCACTTTTTCCAGAAAAAGGGGAATAATGTGCTCTCACAAAAGCAATGAAGCTTGGATTTCCTTTGACAATGTATTAGGCATCTGACTGGAGTACTGCGTCCACACTGCCACAGCATTTAGGGAAAAGCCATAGGCCTTTGCTGGAGAAACCTAGGACTTTACAGAGTGCAACAGCTGCTCTTTCTGGGAAATAAATCACAAGTGCCATTAGAATCGCTCACTCACACTGGTCCTGGGGTGCAGCCAGTAGGCGATGTTCGTGTCCAGCGTGACCCAGTCCAAGGGCGAGGAGCTGTACTTGTGCTCTGAGTCGTCACTTCTTAGCGTCAGCATCCTCCACTGGGACAAAGCAGACATCACTGAGATTTGAGGACAGTCACATGCCCCCAGCTGCAGGTGGGTATCATTACAGGGGTTGGAATGGACTGCTGTCTACACTCGTGAACTATCCAAACTCAGGTTCACGGGGATCATGCAACAGTAGTATGATGAAAACCTGATTTCTAGCCCCAACTGTGGCCTTGGGGGGTTGCCCCACCCCTAAGTTCTAGTCACTAAGTGGGCTCAACGCTCTCTAAGGTCACATTCAGATTCAGGGCTCTCCGAGTTTCTGATTCTGACTTCTCCCCAGCCACTATGTTTTATGCAGCCCATTTCCACCTGACCCAGGGGCCTGAAAACCCCATGGACATGCTGCAGTGTCCCACTGATGCAGAACCCCATCTCTGACTTTTCCAAGCTGCAGGGCCACAAGGAAGGGGCCGACAGTAGCATACAGACACTTATGCTAGAGAGAGGGGTGAGCCCAGGCTTCGGTTCCAAAGCCTAACTCCCAGAGAACTCCACAGACCCCACTGTTGCCAGTCAGGGGTCAGTCCCAGCAAGCACAGTGGAGATCCCTGTGGCTGTGCCTCACCTGCAGCTCTGAGAATCTGGCCATGAAGCTGAGGTTCTTGGTGATGTCGACCTGTGTGGGGGAGTGCAGCTCCAGCTCCCTCTCCTTCTGCTCCTGGCCTGACAGAATACACGGTATGCCAGAGACAGGGGCAGAGGAAAGTCAGGGCGCTCAGAGTAGAAGCTGCAGCTCGCAAGAAGCTGAACCTGCTTTGTCAACAACCCACATGCATACTGCATCAGCCCGAGTTGTTCTGCGCAGCCTTGCCCACACCCGCCAGCACACTCCACGGTCTAATTAGGATATCTGGCCTTTGTGAAGGCTCAGGTGGGATCAATTGGTCACCTTCCAGCCATGTCTTAGAGGAAGTTATGGCTGCAGGTAAACACAGGGAGGGACTTGCCCTGTCATCAAGCATTGACAGCCTGCTCGGCACCACCTAGATGGAGTCTTATCAAAATACCCAGTGACTGGAAGTGAGCCTTCTGAAGTGGGGCTGGTGGCCACACTCACTCTTGCCATAGCGGTGCTCCTCCACTGTCCATGCTGTGCTCACGTGGGAGCCCCGGGGCAGCTTCTCCCCAACGATCTCCAGCTGCCGGAACCCCCAGTCAGGGAGGTGCGCCCCACTCAGCTGGGGAAATGTGGGAGAGAAGGGAACAATGGGAAAGCCTGGTGGTGGCTCTGGATCCTGCTGGAAGGGGAACCCCCACCCTGGGCACACTGTCAGCAGATGTCCCCTGGGGGACGTTAGGATTCATTGTCTTGAAAAGTTACAGATCTTCCCTCCTCTGTGTGAAATATACACGGCCATGATGTTAGTCCAGGGCTCCACCTAGAAGAGCCGGTGTGGCATAAGAGCTCACCGAGCAGCCCAGAGCTGGCAGTTCACCCAGGCCGAAAGCCACCCTCACCTTCAGGACAGCAGAAGTATTCACATGCACAAAGCGGACCTCTGACAAGATGTTCTTCCAGACATCTGTGTCCGACTCTCTGTTTACAATTTCCTGCAAAAATAAACACTGTCAATTATTTCATTCCTTTTCAAATTTCTTTAAATGTAAAAATAAAGAGTGGTCACCAAATAATGACATTTGACTTCAGGCTGAAGATAAGGGCACAAGGTCACAAGCACGAGAGCTGTGAAGGGCTGGCCCTGGGCATTCCTCCAGACACTCACACCACCTTGCAGGGCCCAGGGGCCACATAATAACAGCTTCCTAACAACGACATAAAAAGCCCGGTGTTCTCTGTGCCTTTCTGCAACGCCTCTTCTCTGAGGGATCAGGACTCTGACAAAGAAGTGAACTTTTCTCAGTCCTAATATGGCAGGACCCCAAGTGGTTCAGATGAAGGTGACACTATCCCTACAGAGCCACCATCGAGGAGATTCCTCACATCGGGTGGTAAGAAAGACAACTGCGTCCGGAGAGTACTCTGTATTGTTATGTGCTACGGTGCTGGGCTGTGTGACAGCCCTGGGAGGTCATGCGGCTACTGTTTTTCCCATTTTATTGTCAAGAACCAGAAAGCCCAAGAAGCTGCACAGGAGCAGGGACCCAGCCTGGTGCTGTGGTTAGACTGCAGTGCGGGCTGACATCCCCAAGGGTCAATGGAGTTCAGTGAGGGCTGACGTCCCCAGGGGTCAGCAGAGTTCAGTGCAGGCTAAGGTCCCCAAGGGTCAATGGAGTTCAGTGTGGGCTGACGTCCCCAGGGGTCAATGGAGTTCAGTGCGGGCTGACGTCCCCAAGGGTCAATGGAGTTCAGTGCGGGCTGACATCCCCAGGGGTCAGCAGAGTTCAGTGCAGGCTGACATCCCTAAGGGTCAGCAGAGTTCAGTGCGGGCTAATGTCCCCAAGGGTTAGTGGAGTTCAGTGTGGGCTGACGTCCCCAAGGGTTAGTGGAGTTCAGTGTGGGCTGACGTCCCCAAGGGTCAGCAAAGTTCAGTGCGGGCTGATTTCCCCAAGGGTCTGCTGGGTCCAGTGAGAGCTGACATCCCTGAGGGTCAGTGGAGTTCAGTGCAGACTGATGTCCCCAAGGGTCTGCCGGGTCCAGTGAGGGCTGATATCCCCGAGAGTCAGCAGAGTTCAGTGCGGGCTGACATCTCTAAGGGTCAGTGGAGTTCAGTGTGGGCTGATGTCCCCAAGGGTCTGCTGGGTCCAGTGTGGGCTGATGTCCCCAAGGGTCTGCCAGGTCCAGTGACGGCTGACATCCCTGAGGGTCAGTGAAGTTCAGTGTGAGCTGACATCCCCAAGGGTCTGCTGCCAACAGCTGGATTCTCAGGCCACACCCCACCACACTGAACACAGTACCTGCTGGACACCACCAGGAGGTTAGGAGTGTTCAGCAGTTTAGATATAGGTCTGTGAGTCCTGTGCTGTAAAAGGCTCAAAGGTTGAAACTGCTTAAGCGTTAAGATATAGCATAGAATAGGGAAACTAAAGGTCACCTTTAGTGACCTTTGTGACCCAGGCGTTGTAACTGTTTCTTTTTTACTTTATAATCTTATGAGAGTCTCTTCTTTCTTTCCATTGTTTCCTCAATTCAGTGATGCAAAACTTCTTTCTTTCTATTTATAATTAACTTTGTATGTTCTGTTGGCTTATGGAGTTTTCCTAGTTCAATAAAAGACCTTTGAGGTTTTTGTTCAGGGCAGCAAACATCCTTGCTCCTTGTTACAGCTTGGCCTGTGAAGCTGCTTGCCTCTCCAAGCCTCATCAGTTATTTCTTTGCAAATAACTGAGTGTTATGAGTTTACTTTTTGTGCCATCCCCTTGTCATTACATCCCTAGGAGCAGAACAACAACAGGGTACCAACTCCTGATTCATGCTCCCCCTTTGCTCAGTGGACCTTAGTTACTTCAAATGTGGGCACCTGGTACTGGAGGTGCCATCAGAAGGGATGGAGGAGGAAGTGGTGGATGAGAAGAGGGATAAGCATGGAGACATCAGAAAGGGAAACCAGACACAGAACAGGCAAGACTCTGTAGAACTTCCCTTGGGGAGAGCTCCCTGGGACAGTGGATGGTGCACAGAGCTCACATCAAGGTAAGACCCCAGAAGACAGAGAGACAGAAAGCACAGGGCCACTATGCTGGCTCTGCACAGAAGTGGGAAGTCAGTACACAGTGGCCTTGCTGCAAGGGGGGGCAGGTGGGCCCACACCACTCACACTCTCAGGACCAACATAGGTGGGTGTAAGGGGGAGCAGCTGCAGTCATGCTGGAAGGAGATGCTGGAAGGAGAGCTTGACCTTCACATGGGAACAGCCCACTGAGACTGCCACATCATGTCCTTAGATTCACACACAGTAAAATGGTGCAGTCACGGAACATCCTCTTTAAGCAACTTTTTCCAGGAGCCCCAGCTCTGTAAGGGAAGCATGTTCCTATAGCCACATGGAGGAAAGGTGACCAAGGACCCTGCCACCTTGGAGCATCCCCAACACTGATGGCCAAGCCGTTCTCCAAGGAAATCCTGAGAAGAGGGAACCTATTAACATCCAAGCAAGGGCTGACCTTGAGGCACTTGTCCTGAGCCACGGGGTGGCTGGAGCTCTTGTCTGGGGCCTGGTCTTTAGGCTACACAAGATGGGAGAACCTGCACCCAGCAAGGCCTGTGAGCACCAAGCCCAGCATGGAGCAAACACAAAGCACCTAAGATCTTTTTTTTTTTTTTTTTTTTTGAGACAGAGCCTCAAGC